ACAGTGACCTCCAGTCGTCTTGTGGCATGCCCGACTTAATAAAACCGAAAGAAAACAAATTAGAAACCGTGTACTCAGTAAAAATAATTAATCGCCGACGGTTGTATCGTTGTTCGTCCGGCCAAGATGTTGTCCCGTCGGTTGTCGTATTTCGAGCGACAGGAAGTTATCATTGTCGGTGAGTGGAAACAAAAAAAAAAAGATGCTGAAAAATCCGTGACCTTCGGGGCTAAATGCTCCTTTATACCTGACGCAACCCTTTAGCTGGGACGAACTGATTCGCAGTTACTGCAGTCGTTAACAGTTTGTGTCATACCGTTAAGTCAGTTTTGCCGCTAGGCTATTAATCGATTAACACGCCACTTATAATAAAGGTGTGCGAGGAAACAAGTGCCGATTGCCTCTTTATAGGCTGTATAATATTCATTTATCGATTTAAGAGCTTGTTATATTTTGTACTACCCACTCGCTGCAGCAATGCAGTGCTATTCCCAACAACGTTAACCGCCAAGCTGTTGCACGTTTTGAAAATAATTCTTATGTTCAAAAATATTTATTAGTCTGTAACATAAAACAAAATATGCTTAATTTTCTGTCGAAGTACAAGTATCGCGGCAGAGCTATCATGAAGTAATAAATTGTCCAATGAAGTACAGGGTGTTTCATTGAGGTTAAGACACTCATTTTCTCTTAAAATAATTGTAATTTTGAAGTTTTTTCATCTTTTTGGAGACAATTTTGCTTATGTTATTTTACAATATGCGGCAAAATTCAAACTTTCAAATTTTTTTCCTGTGCTCGTCAATTTTTGAAACTTCAATAGTAACGTATATATTCTATTAACTTTTTGAATTAAGAATAATTTTCTGAAATTATTGACTGGTCAAAAACTAGTTATAGAGCGGTGGAGTAGTGCGTGCCGATAAAAAGAATACTACACTCCACCATACCTCCCGTCCTCAATTTTAAGCTTTAATAACTTTAAGATTAATTATCCAAAAAATGGTTATTGACTAGTTAAAATTTTCAGCAAATTATTCTTAATTCAAAGTAATAAAATATAACCATTGAAGTTTTAAAAGTTGACAGAGCTCTAGAAAATACTGAAAAAGGTAAATATGTATTAACTTTAAATTATTGTAAAGTAACTTAAACAGCAATGTTTTCAGAAAGAAAAGCAACTAAATTGCAATTATTTGAGGAGAGCAAAGACAAAATTTCAATTTTGATTACTTATTATAATTTTCTATGTGATCTTATACAAGTTTCCTATATTCCTAGATTTATAAATCGTCAAAGGTGTAGAAAACAAAGGACTATTCGTTTTTTTTTATAAATTTACGACTCTTTGCTTAGCATTCAATATCCCAATTCCATTACTAATAGATAAACAAGTCTAATAGTTATTAAAATAAACGCATTGATGCATATATATAGATGTTAGAGTTACTAAATACCTATTAATGCATTGTAAAGACAATAATGTGCTTAAAAAGGTATTTTTAGTATTAGGGTGGATACGATTATGGTTGATCGTCTTTTTATAATAATGTTTTGCAATAATTGTCAAGCACCTAATAACTTGACTATTTTTATACAAGTTATAGCGTGCCATAATTTTAAGTTATAAATGTGTACATTTTAGATGGTTGTATTACTTTATTTTGAAAAAGGGGTAAACTTTTTGAATTTTTGGCCTGAAGTACTTTTCAGATAGATTTAGTGATCTTTATACTTGCTACATGCAGAAATTAATTCAGTGGTTAAAACTATTTTGGGTTCAGATATAATAATAGAAAAACTATAAAAAAATTTCCGCACTGGAGCTAAACGCTTTTAAAACAATAACCACAAAACCCTATTTATTTATTATTAATGTATAATATAGATATGTATAGAACAAAATTCAATCCGCATACTTAAACACCATCCAATTACTTAAGTTGAAATTTGTGATGCAAAACTACAATTTTATAGAACTTTCTATTCAAATATTTAAAGTTTTTGTAGTTGTTATTTATAAGTGCAAAAAAATAACAATGCATTATTTATACTACAAACGAGATGTATTTTTTTAAATTTTGCCATTGTGGTGTAGCTTTTATAAGTTAAATATTTACATTGTTTTTTTTAGAACATCTTTAAGTAGTTATATGCCTAAATTTTTTGTATTTTATTATTAATTTTTCGAAAAGTTTAATTAACGAGTACTTTTTAGAGCACTAAGAAAATACTTCGATATTTTACTGATCTTACTCATAAATAGAAACATAATTCCTAAGCTTAAGTATATGATGCAGATTGTTTATAGTAGTAGTTTTATTTTTTCTTTGGAAAGAAATAAAATACATTTTTCATAATTAATTGCTCTCCGCATGTTCAATATTTGTCGTTATGGCGTTTTTTTTATCGTTAACAATATAATGGAAGGCACAGATGTGTGTGTTAGATTTATATTTTTTAGAGATTGAATTATATACTGCATTTATACCTAATAACTTCCTACAGTGTGGACGAATATTAAAAACCAAGAGATCTTATTATGCCATAATACATATTTCCAAACATCACTCCTAAATATTTTTTAACGCACTTACCACACTTGTGTAATAGACTATTGTTACTATGTTCTCTATAATATATTAAAAATCCATTAGGTATATAAGAAGTCTTAAACAATATGTCCGTTGCACCTTAGTCAACACATTCCTTTGGTTTTTGTTATATTCTGTTTTAATATGCATTATGCAGTTTCCAGGAAAAACATTTTTCCGAAATGGATTCGACCTACGCTTTAAAGCGTGTACTCGTGCTAGTGTAGCATGGGTATTGTTTTCGTTTGTTAAGCTTCTGAAAATTAAACTGCACCCGAAGCCATTGGCGTTCAAATAAGTTTTTATTTAAATTAGCAATTTCAATAGAAACTAAAACGAAACGTAGCCGTACAAAACTTAATTTTCAAATGTGTTTGTTTACTACAAATTTGTCCCGGACAATGAATTTTTATTTTAATGACTTCATTGTCGTACTGCCGTGAAATTTCAACGCGTTTCAACCGCATCTAAAAAATGACACCTGTCCAGTAAAACCTCTCTATTTGTGTGCAAACACATGTTTAAACACAATACATAAGTTAATTTTTTTATTTTACTCAACCGTCGTTGGTCGACCTACAGTCGATTATCAAAATGAATCGTGCTGTGTACTCGTTGAAAACAATATAATGAGTATTTCGGTTGTTGTACTTGAGCATAAGCTTTAATAGACAAGACAAAATGTGGCATTACTATATTATATCTCGTCTTGTTTCGAGATATATAATAAAACAATATGACCATTTTGACTCTGTTCGTTTAAACTTTAACATAATACCATTAAATTTAGGGCGCGTCACGCATATTGTTTTGGTTAAACAAAACGCCAAATAATAACATAATATTCGTAATGTTTTCGACTTAAGTTACACCAAAAAAACAGATAATGCTTTTTTAACTTTTTTTTTTTTTATATAAGATAGAGAATATACTTAATTGTTTTATTAAGTTATATGGAAAATAGACGTGTTCGTTTTAATATTTCTTGTAATAGTTTTATCTAGTATAGATATTACCCCAAGAAGCTTTGGAATTTTTCTGATTATATTATGTAAAACGTCATGTAGAATAGGTAGGTACGCTGGTGATGGGGTGAAATGAATTATGGGTCCTACTCCTTGTAATAATAGTTAGACATTTTTTTTAAGTGTATTGTTTATTTATTTGAAGTCAATCTTATCACATACTTAGTTTAAAAAAAGGCACTTGTTTTTTACTTTTTAACTGTCTAGGCATTTCAATTAAATTGATAAAAGAGCAACGAGGGCATAACGTATGCTCGTTACGTTTTTCATTCGGTGTTACTACTTACAACTGACATATGACCTTTCATCCGGAGCCCGGATGTCATATTAAAATCATATTCGTTAACAAATTCCATGTACACTAGTATTGATAAGTGATGAATTTTTTCATTATGGTTACCTATTGGGGAACATACATTTATAATTAAAGGAAATTAACAGTATAATAATCTTCGTATAAAAATAGGATAGTTTATTAAAATTTAGTTTTTAAATTATTTTTCTATATGTTTGTAACGTTTGTAAACAGTTGATTTGTATAGTATAAGTAAAAGTAATTACAATTTTAGGAAATACTTGGTAATTCTATTTAGTCGTTTTAAATTTAAAGTTAAAGTTAACACAAGCTCAAATTATATAATATCTCGCCAAACTAATTAATACTATTATTAATCTTTTACTAGACTATTAAAATGTCCAAATTAGTTTAATAATTTTAAAAATCAATAATAAAACTCATTTTATTCATAGACAAAATCCGAACAACAATAACTATACAATCCTTCGGCATAATATTACTTCTGAACATGTGCCATAATAAATAAATAAATCTGATCAAACACCATGCTAAATAACTATACAGAATAGGCGTCTTTTAAAGTATGGAATGTTTAAGCCTATTGTTGTCTGTATATTTTGTATAAACAACTCGCACTTTGACCATCCGTTTATTAGGTTCATCGTCTAGCTGCTGTTTTCTTTTATGATTTACTTTAGAACGTTTTAAGAAACTGGTTAATATTTCCACGTCCTAATTATTACGTCAAATTGTTTACAATTGAATAGTTTAGTAACATTATAATTACAAGGTAATATGTACATTTAGATACATTTTTACAACTCGGTTCATGACTGAAAAAAGTCGAATTGTCTCTATTCCTCGTTTATAAAAAAAAAAAAAGAATATTTTTGTAAATCCAAAGTTTATTGGTTTATAAAGTTAGTTGGCACGCTACGCGAGTCTCATTGCGTTGTTGTCGGTGACAACTCGAAAGAATTCATGACCTCATAAATGATAGTCGACAAAACCAGCCTATTGGATTACTTGTGAATCCGTTCACGCGTTTACAATAGTATTTCTATTTCGTTTTACTTTTTGCAGGAGAACGTTTAAATTATGTCAACACACCGCACGTTATTGCCATGGTCGGGTTGCCGGCCCGCGGCAAGACTTATATTTCGAAAAAACTTTCCAGATACCTTAACTGGATCGGCATCAACACCAAAGGTATATCACATTGCGGTTGTGTGTCGTCACACTACCAACAGTTTGCCTCTTGGGCAATATTTTTGGTTTCGACGGATTCCGTTTACGTTTTTTTTTTTTTATTGTTTTTAATTTTTTTAGTTTTCAATCTCGGAGAATACCGCCGACACGCCACCACGGCCTACAAGAGTCACGAGTTTTTCCGTCCAGACAACAAGGAAGCCATGGCTATCCGGACACAATGCGCCATCGACGCTCTCGACGACGTGTGCACGTGGCTGGACAACGGCGGGGAAGTAGCAGTGAGTAAAATCATCAAGTTGGCATTGTTATTGAAAACGAGACGTGTGTGTGCAACTCGTTCCACACCAAAAGTGGCCATAAAGTCGACCATTAGCGGGTCGATTGACAAGAGCTTGTTTCGAAACCGATAGCACACGCTATTGAATGGGTTTCACATAAAACGATCCGTTTATCCAATTTTCCGGGTCGTCGTACCGCACTTAAAAGTCATCGTTGTTTCTATCATTGTTTTTATCTCCGTAGGTGTTCGACGCCACCAATTCGACCATCGAACGGCGGCAGCTGATATTGGACATTGTCGTCAAGAAACGAGGGTTTAAACTGTTCTTCGTGGAGTCCGTGTGCGATGATCCGAAAATCGTCGAACAAAACATCATGGTAAAGAGGAGGAGGATAAAGACTTTGCAATACATTTGTTTGTGCGATTTCACTCGGGTCGTTGGTGATTTGTTTTGCAGGAAGTCAAAGTCAACAGTCCGGACTACCAGAGCATGGGTGCGGACTTAGCGCTGCGAGACTTCTTGCAGCGCATAGAGCATTATCAAGAGCGGTACGAGCCGCTCGATGAGCACACTGAGTCCAGTCTCAGCTACATGAAAATATTTAACACTGGCGAGAAGGTGTTGGTGCGAAAACACGAAGGTCACATACAGGCGCGCATCGTTTACTATCTGATGAACATCCATATCATTCCAAGGACCATTTATCTTACCAGAGTAAGTTGCCGATTGATTATACGCGTTCTTTGCTGCTGCTGAGTTCGTGGTGCAGACCAGTTATTAAATGGTCAAAGCTGGTTAGGGCAGGTCGATAACCATGATTTGGTTTAGTCGGCGAGTCCATTTGTATAGTCCTGTTCATTTCCTCGTGATGTTTATAACGACGATACCGGTTATTTTGTAGCACGGCGAAAGCGAATGCAACAGAGAAGGCAAAATCGGAGGAGACTCGCAGCTGTCTCCGAACGGTGTTAAATACGCCATAGCTTTAGCCAACTACATCAACGACCAAAACATCAAAAACCTCCGGGTGTGGACGTCGTGGCATCATCGGACCATTCAGACGGCGTGCGGCGTACGGGCACCTCAGGAACGGTGGAAGTCCCTCAACGAAATAGACGCAGTACGGTTACTAATATACGCCGTCCCCCCTCCGGTCTATACATCTTGATCGAATCAAAACTGGAGATTAAAACTATTGCTCACGTGTGTTTCTGCGACGACTTGCAAATCGATCACGATTGGCGAGCAGTGACACGGTTAAGCGACAGAATTATCTCTAGTAAATTCTTGAGTCAAGATATATTAACTGGATTTTTGTCTGATTGTGGTGCTCGTTTTTACCCATCTGTTTTTTCAGGGCGTTTGCGAAGGTAAGACGTACGAAGTGATTAAAAATGAATACCCCGAGCAGTTTGAAGCCCGCGACAAAGACAAGTTTGCCTACCGCTATCCGAGGGGCGAATCGTACGAGGATTTGGTAGCACGGTTGGAGCCGGTCATTATGGAACTGGAAAGGCAGGGTAACGTGTTAGTGGTTAGCCATCAAGCCGTGCTGAGATGCTTGCTGGCGTATTTCTTAGACAAATCTGCAGGTGAGTCTCGATCAACCTAAACTATATATCACCGGATGTGTATAATAAAACAACATAAATGATTATTAGAGCTTAAGCATTGATTAACTATGCATAGAGAGGAGCCCGTGGCAATATAAAATTTGGTAACCATGCTTTACTGTCTAAATCCCATTCTCCTTTGCGTCGCTCTCAGTTATGAGCGACAAATTTTTAACACTCCATAGGATATCCATATTTAGTTAATCAGTGGCTAAAGTAATTACTTTTATTGCTTGGCAAAACCCATAGAAGCGCTTTACGATTAACTAATTGAATATATTTACCATTGCAGAAGAGTTACCTTACTTGGAAGTGCCTTTGCACTCGCTGATCAAGCTAACGCCTGTAGCGTATGGTTGCAAAATGGAGCAAATCAACTTTTCCATTGATGCCGTCAATACGCATCGCCCTAAGCCTCAGGTTAGTTACGCTCAAAATCAATTATCATAGAACTGCTTAGCATGATGAAGATTGAAACTTGTTTTTTATACTTTACTCTCAGTCATGTTCTGTCGTATACGTATATACTTTTGTACGGTTAATATACTTAATGAAAATAAAAGCGTCTTGGTATATTTAATTATAATAATAAACGGACAAAGTCTCTATTTAAATTTACAAAGTTTTTGTTTTTTACATTTTTTAACGGGAAATTTTATTATTTTTTATTTTATAAGTTGTGTATGTTTTTTATTTGTATATTTTAAATGTTAATGGATTTGTTGTTTGAAAATGGTTTTGACGCAATTACATGACATATTTGTTGCCAAGTCAACCAATCATTTTTTAACAATCTATTCAGTAATTTGGGAGCAATATTATTTATCTTTATCTCTGGAACACTAATAAAATCGGCTATGTAATTAATGTTATTATAATTAATTATTGTCCTTCTTGTCCTGTACGTACAACAAAAAATATGGTGAGCTCTTGAGCCAAGTTCTTGCTTGGTTCTACCAAAAAAAAAAAAAAAAAACGTCTGAGGGAAATATGTGTACAAAACTAATAATGTTGAGATGAGAAACGTGGAAATCCAAAAATGTCTAGTTAAGAATTAACTAAAATAAATATGTCCAATTCAATCATTTATTTTACAATATCGAATTTTTACATTGTTTCGGTGGACATTTTCAGACATTTTACGCATGCCTCAAATGGGCAATTTTTTTGTCAGTTGTTCCTCAGCTGAATATTTTTTAGCGTTGCGTTTTTGCACCGCAACAAATCAAATTGGTACACGTTTTGTCATTACGATATTATTCAACAATAGTTGTGTAGCGTCGGTAAAAATCATCGAAACACTATAGTTTTTGTTGGCGCCTTAGAAATCCCGTTAACTTTCTGTGCACTTTTTGTTGCCTATCAAAACGCCCGAATTCGTTATTTTAGTTGCAACCTCGTCCTGACATTGAATATCCTTGATTAAGCTGTTTGTACCTTTTTAGTGACAACAATAATAGATACGATAAAACGCCAAACGCATCCATTAGATTATCGTTTCTTAACTCAAATTAACACGTTTTCGACAGAATCAAAGTGAGCCGTAATGCCGTTGAGATATATTTCTTCTTTTTGTTTTCTTGTGCTATAAAAATAATAGTATAATTATGTTGACATTATTATTCTCTTTCCAACTGTCAACATTTCAACCAAGCATGTCATGTGTAGGCGTTGGTGTAAGAAAAAAATATGTTGTTCTCTTTAGAGAATCTTAGGACTCCTCGATAAGTGATTTGAACAGCTTCGTGGATTTGTCTGTGTCTTGTTTTACTGTTTTAGAAATAAAACATTGTTAATTGAACCGATAGATTAATAAAATTCTTTGTAGACTTATCGATAATATTGGTAATTTCCAAAGTTAAATAATAGACGACTTGTTGAGTTATATTTATCTAAATTAGATAAGTGATAACAATTGTTTTACTCGCTTTAATTGTCTTATTGTTGTAATATAATCGCCGTCTGTTTTTTGCGCAGATTTCAACTACGAAATTTATCAATATTATAAGAATTTTATTAATTAGTGTAAACGATTACAATTTGGTTTTTTCAGATAGAATTTTTTTTCATCCCAAGACTACCATGTTTTCTACACACCTTTATTTTATTTTTTTTATTTTTGCATACAAATATGTTGTTTTCAGTCTTAAAACCCAAATTATCATATAAATTGAAACTGTTCGGCTCAATAAACCATCTTTAGTACTTTTGTTAGCATTTTTAGGTTATAAGAAATACACAAAAGAGTTCTTGTTTATTTCCAATATACATTTTTCTACTCACCATTTTGGTTGTTTAACTTGCAATATATAAACGTGTGTTACCTTGACAAAAGAAAAAATTTGAAAATAATTAATTAAGATAAGTTTTTTATTTATTATTTCGCTAGTACAATTATTAAATTGTAACGCACAACAATATATACGTATACACTGAACGTACAATAATATAATACCTATATAATATGTAATGTAAGAAAAAATAACACTTGATAATAATATGTACTTACCACACTGACTTTCAGAGATTATTGATAAGATGTATTATACATCTTATACATCATGTATACATATATTATATATATTTTTCAAGCCTACGCATTTCGACCTTATCACTGGGTTTCTTAATGATGTGTTCAGAACTTTTGTCCTTGATAATACTTAATAATATACCTTGTTGGGACGGAAAAATTATTTTGAAAAAAATACATGTATAATATTACACTTCTTGTGTTCCTGGTCAACAACATGTTATGTGTTTACATAAAACCAATAACTTCACTGCGGGTCACGTTAACATAATATTGATTTAAGTTGAAGTATAAATTAAACCGGTGCCTTTTTTTTTGGAGTCAATAAAAAGGAAACCCAACTCGCTCTAAGACTGATTAAAAAAAAAACACAGCCGTATAACGAAATCGATATTGTAAGCATGACCTTTTAAACGGCAACGGTATAAATTTACTTTGGTAAACGAATTGGTAAACCGTATGAAAAAAATATATTTTTCAAACTTGATATTAAAAGTGTTTCTTATTATTTTCAATACGATATGTGATTACTCGTCTTTATAATATAATATATTATGATCTACTTTCGCCTCAGTCTAATTTGTTTTGTGTATATAAAACATCCAAGTTGTTTATTTTTTATTATATAGTACTTAAAACTTACAGTTTGAAATAGTTCACGGTTGTTTTATTATTCTAAAAACATTACCCTGTACAACAAAATTTGATCTTTTTTTGACACGAAACCAAAATACGACTATCTTTTTAATAGCACCTCAATTTGTTTTTTTTTTTTTTTTTACTCGTCTCAAAACTTCTAAATAACATGATTATCAACGCTGCCGTTATGAGATGGTTACTAGACGAATTCATTATCCGTCGTTCTAAACAACATAGAAAACAAAAATAATTATTTCTATCGTTAATTTATCCTATAGAAATGACTGTAATAGTCTGACAAAAAAAAAGAAAGAATGGCGAGCAATAAAGAATCCTTATTGTTGTATTAATAAGTATATACACTATGGTTCAAGCTCTAAATTAGATTTTGCAAACATTTTTCTATACTTTACTCCTTAGAAATATGCGGTGTAGGTAAAAGGTGTAGCTTAAGCTTTCCTCTTAATAATGCAAATTGATTACATCACATAAACTATAGTTTGTACATAATTATTATGATAAACTCATTGACAAATCCAAAAAGACCAATCTTGTGGATTTATGAAATGTATTCAATTTCAGGTGATCAATGTTGTTTTAAGTAAATAATAGTTTACATAGAATATACAGAACTTATCGAATGCAATTATTTTAAGAGGTCCGAAACCGAAACGAACAGATTCTATTTGCTTAGGACTTGAAATTCCAATACACTTTCATTTCTTACACCTTTTTTTCTCAAAATCCATTACTGGTTTTTGTTTTTCAAACAAACTTTTTAGTTAACGAATTAGTTTTGTAGTGTCAACAATAACCGAGCATTAAAGCAAAAACAAAAGGATCTTATGGATTCTTATTGAGTAGTATTAATTGTGTATAGCGATTCAGATTGTGAAAATCTTTGCCTATCTTCCACCCCATCAGGGTTTAGGTATTTTCTATGTAGGTAATTTTTGAGGTAATTTTCGACTGTTTGTATGATTATGGTCGAATGACGACAGTTGAAAATTTTAAATGGTGATTTGTAAATATTTACACCATTTTGTTGTTTTTATTTGTTTTTTAAGGACATATTGTACTCGGTCTACGATAACGCTGGTACGGGTTCGGCTAATACGGTGTGTTTTATCTTTACAAATTGTGGTGCATGCAATTGTCAATTGTCTTTAACTAATACTATCATCTACTATAAAATACTACTAAATTAAATTATCGTTAGTACGCTTAGAACATTTACGTTGTTTGTATTTGTATTTGAAACCAATATTAGTGATCGTCTCGGAAACCCACAACGCGTGACCAAATGATTATTTTGCGTTGGCCAAGTTTGACAGTTTGATTTGTTTTTTTAGGTTCCAGGATTCTTAGAAGATCGGTTCAAATTCAAACCCGACAGCGACAAGAAAGAAAACGGCGACACGAATTTACCCACTTAACCGACCGATAATTATTATTATATTTTGTAATAATAATTGTAATATCACCAAGAGCTAATTATAATAACACGAAGAAGAGCTACACACACCTAAACACATGAGCGTCCAATAACATATTTAAAACGAAAAACAAGAGCAGGGAGAAAAATGTCTTTTCTTTCTTTTTTAAATTTTCGCCGCCGAGAAATTGTTTCGACGAACGATCGACTTTGATTAACTGATGCTTTGACGCTATATTTTGGCAACCATATAAAATCGAATTCGACTAATATATAAATTTTTTTTTTTTGTATACGGTTTAATAACTTCTACTTAATTTAGATGATTTTACAATAGGATGTATGTAAATATTTATTATAGCGCAATGTACTTATAGCCTGTTTCAATCTATTTATATTTATAAATTATTACATTATATGATATATTGATATTACTATTATTATTATTATATATTAACATTACACGCTATAGTTGATATCTTTAAAATTTCCATAAGTTTGTTTTTTTTTCTTTGTTTAGAAGTGTAAGGATTTCTTCTTTTTTTTTTTTTGTATACACCTTTAAAACCAATATTATAACTCATAATATCTATTTATGGTGATCACACAATATGTTTTTATCGTTTTGAGCTTATATATGTGTATGTCCTTGAATGGAAATCTTTAATAATTTTTTTTTAAAAAAAAGAAACAATTTCCATTCTTCGATCTATATATTTTCACTTAACTAAATTATTATTGTGATATTTTCGAGAAACTGTGAATTTTTCTTCTTTGTTTTTGTATACCAAATGTTTGTTATTTAAAAATAAAGAAGGTTTTTTTTTGTTTTACTAAATACGGCACTTGATATTTTTAACATTTACTATTGCCTGAATATAAAGAATAAAAAATGAGCAGAAAACGAATAGGATCAATTTGGTCAGTTATTAAACCAATATTTAAATGTTAGGGAACCTTATAAAAAATCCGATTTTACAAGACATTTTGTACATTTATAAAATTATTAAACAATTTCTTCAATCGGATCCACTATAATATGTTCTATTTTTTTTTCAATAAGGAAATAAAAGCTTTTCCACGTACATATTCAATTAAGTTGAACTAGAATGCGAAAAGCTCATTTTACCAGAAAACGTTTACATTAGATTATGACAACCTAATAAAAAAATTAAATATCGTTAAAATTCCTCGTTCCATCCTACTGGTTGGTGGAGAGTATGTGCTTACTACATTCAGTACTGTTTTCCCTAAAATTAAGTTCAATTCAAAAAATAACATTTTCTAATTAAGAAAAAATGTTATTATTTGAACTAAAATTAAATTGGGAAATATTTATAATAACTTGGGAATCTTAGCTTCGAGTATTTCTATTAAATCGATCAACCTGTGGATTTAATTTTATAAACATATAAAGATATTAAATATAAGGTATTTTTAGTAAAATAAAGCCGTTTTAATTATGGTCAGCATAGCATAAAATTTAAATCTACATAATAAATTATAATTATTGTTATCGTGCAAATATATACTAAACAGTCAAACCTAACCACGAACTTCAGTGGTTATTGATAACATAGGTAAGTCAAATAAGTACAATTTCCACACAAACTACCGTATAATATCTTTTTTCATTTTAGCTCTAGATTTTTGTAGGGAAACCAATTTGAGAAAGTATAAAAAATATACCTATTCCGCTGAACAATACGTTATTTGATACTTAAGGGCGGGTATTAACTACCAAACTTGTTTAAATGAAATACGGCATTGTTCAATTTGACCATGTTTATGTAGCATATTAATGTCGTCAGAAATTAAATACCTACAATATATTTCAATTAATAATTGTGATTATTTACTAAACCGTCAAGAAATCCAGTGTTAGCTATAAATTATTATAAGTTTGAACCCGAAATTGTTAGCAATAGGGAAAATGCTTCCACTATTCGAAGATTGCTATGAAAAACTTTTTTTAAAATCTCGGGTTTCATTGGTGAGGTTTTTTAAAAGAGACATGTAAAGATTAGGTATGCTGCGAATGTAAACTAATTCAACGTCATTTAATCGTGTCAAGGATTTCAGTCATTGTGTTTAATATCAGTCGATAGAGAACAATACGTTTTGGATAAAAAGATAACATTAATTATACTTGAATGTAAACGCGAATTAGTCTGACAATGACATTCACAAAAAAAGGCGTCGATATGAAATTGATACCCTTTAGGAAGAAGAGATGATGCTAAAATATAACGTACCTCAAAAAAACTTTAATTTTACAATTATTAGTGTGTTATGTATTTAATTGAAAATGTAATAACATGAAACACGATTTAATAATAATTATGTAAAGATTTCATTTAGTTTAAAATTATACAATACAAAATATTTAAAACTCTTAGTTATAGGAGTATTTGAGTATTTGATTCTAGAGTGGCACTATAACTTGTACAATTTCCTTAAACATATTCATTTTTATTGACATTTAATATTTACGCTATCAATAGATTTGCATCAAAGTGTTTTATTGTGTTCTCATAACTCTTTCAATTATAACTATTTTTTTTTACAATCTTTAAACTACTCCGACCTCACAAGTTGACAATTATAATTTACACAATATTATAATGTCTGCCATATAATACAATTCCGTATGACTGCCGTTTGGGGAAAACGTTAAGTGAGATTATTACATTTTGCTTAATTCATACACTTATGCTGTTCTTTTTTATCTTACTTCGTGTGTGTCGGGGCATATCTAGAAAGTAGGTTATTATAAACTAAATAACGTTATGGTACTTTTATTATGTTTACTCGCCAAATCCCAGTGGTTTTTTGAAAACATTATTTCAATTTTTCCCCCAAAAATTGATGTAGGTATTTACAAAAATAGACGTCGGCCACTGGTGGCAACACTGTAATGCAAAATGATTTATTTAATTATTATTAAAAAACGTATTGCGACTCAAATAGTCATATAATACAGAAATAGACATATAAAACAAAATTAGTAACGAATTTATAATTAACAATATACTTAACAGTAAACACAGATAAAACTAACTGAAAGGACGGGTCCTCATTATAGCTATACGCATCATTCTAAATATTGGTCGATTACGATGAGAGTAAATATAAGAGAGTAATAATTATATTTAGTAAACTGTAGTAGAATCTTAAATTTACAAATAAAAAAAAAATTGATATCATCACTTGACACCCGATAGCAGCCAAGCCAAATGTGTCAATTTCAATTGCAGTAAGGCGCTAAGTTTCATTTTATGTTAATCGTTTAACTCTATTTCAACGTGCTAATGTTTAACTTTTTCATAATATAATTATTTTGTGTTTGTTTTATTTATTATTTTTACACTGCTCTATTGTTAGATTTATGTAGTTTTTCAAGAATAACAATAGTATGATCTATAGTCTTACGTTAGTCCAGTTTTCCCAAGTCCAACATCTTCTTGTGTCCCTAATAAATGTGTTTATATTCGTGTTAATCGGTTATTTGGTTTTAATTAACAGGATTTTCAGATTTGCATATAATATTATAGGTACACATTAGACCTATTTTCAGTTCATTTTTTTCAAGGCTGCGACCCGGAATGGGTTACCTCGTCCAAATTTATCACAAGCAAGTAGATAGATTTTTAGATATCGATCTGCAGAATTGGCAAACATCTGGAAATCTAACCTTACACAGAATAACGAACTGGATCACTTCCAGTCAGTTTCCGAGTAATTTTTCCAATAAAATATTATTTTATTATATTTATAAACGTTGTAACTTTAAAGTACCAATGTATCTACTAATGTAAAATAATGTACTACAGGTATTTGTATATTATTATTGTGATCATAATTATATTAGGACGATGGTTATAAACTAAAAACGTTAACCATGTGTTAGGCTCTAAAATACTTATACTGCCGTGTGATCGCGGCGGTGGTAAAACAAGTTGGTACCACTGACGTTCCCGCCAAACTGGAAGGTTTACCTACTCTTGGTGCGACGCCGCCAATCCACCGGCCGTCCGTCGTTACTCGTTACTCGCCAACAGGCAACAGCGTCTAGTCTCGTACCAAGTGTGTCCGCGCGTGTACTCTGGCCACCTGCTGCTGTTCACACGCTCCTGGTTTTTGTTTTTGAAAATTAATCGTGTTCTTTATATCGGGGTATTTTCGAATCGTATCGCAACCGTGTAGTGCCGTTGTTGTAATTAGATCCGTCGTCGTTCGGTACGATTGTTGTTTTTTTCTTTTTTTTTTATAAATACTTTTCCTTTGAGTTCATTGCAGATGTGACCTAGTGTCGTTGTCGCGCGATGGCAAACGGACAAGAGCAGAACTTAGAAATGCAAGACAAACCGGACGGATGTCTGTCGGCCACGGTGGTGGACGAGGAACGGGAACCTTGTCTGAAGGAATCCGAAACGAACAAAAACAACGGTGTGGCGTCCAAAGCGGCCGCGGCGGACAACAACAACAGCACCAGCAACGGGGGTGGAAAGTTTCTGACGTTCACGGCCACCAGCTTAGAACAGAAGCTCCGGGACAAGACCGGGTTCTCCAGGGTCGGGTTGACCGTGGCCGCCGTGGAGCTAATCCTGTGCCTGTTCCTGTTCATCGCGCTAGTCGTCCTGTTGATCTTGTGGCCGCGTCCACCGCACGTGTTCCCACTCTGTCGGCGAGCCGCATGTCTACGGGCTTCAGCTGAAGTGAGTTTTTTGTTTTTGAAGTTTTTTATTATTCCTACTTACATCGTTTTCAGTGGTTCGGTAAAAAAAAACGAACAAAATAGTTGCCTCAGCTCTAAAAGTTTAACGAACCCATAAAATTAGGTACCTACCATTTTTTTTATACAACCCGGCATTAGATAGCTTAATGTTTTTTGTCCTTTCACTTACACGCGGAGGCGTCAGAGTCTGTCCTGATAACGGACTTTATCGAAACCGGCATTCGGCGTGTTAACGCATTTTTAATGAAACCCACAAAACTGGCATTCGTCAAAAAATCGTGCTATCATAAAATGTACATAACGAACACGTTGTCCCTTTATGTCACCGGGAATCCAAGTGATATCTCTAAAGATTCCTATGCAGGAATAACGAATTCCTCGAGGATTACCCTTTAAAGGCGAGGACTCCTTGTAGGCTTTCTACATCACTAGGTCTCATCAGTTGAAATGCTTAAACGGGAATCCTAGTCGATGTTATAGGATTGCTTTTAAAAATAGTCAAATCTCATTTAGAATCAACTTCTCGGCAAATGTTGTGTGTTATTAGGAGGGAACTACCCAAAGAGCAATAATACACTGTTAAGTTTATAATACTTAGGCTATGGTATTGAAGCATTTGTGTTATGTTTATATACTTGATTGACTGCTAAAATATGATGTAAACATATTTTGACAATATTAATAAAAATGAGTTGTGAGGGCAAATCGTATAAATTTACTCTTAAACGCCAGTAACTTTCGTGAACGCTATCCAACCCTTTGATATTATGTTCCCACGGTACTCTCGCGCATAATATTATAAAGCACTCAAAACACATGGCAATTGTCAAAACAGAGTTTTATTATATATTTTGAGTTAGATACTTGGACAAAAAAAAAAAAAGTCCTATAATATTACTGCAGTGATTTGATAAAAGTTTCCATCATTCATCATAACATTGTATTAAAAAATCATGTCATAAACAAACCAAAGTCAAATAATATCGTCGTCGGTTGGAACTGGTCGCGTTTGACCGCAGTCCGTATCTGTTTATATTATAAATGTTACAGTAAACAGACATAGAAAAAAAAATGCAAATCCTATGTTAATCGCGTTCACTTATGCTGGTTGTTCGTTACCGGTGCTTGTTTTGATCGGTGCCATGCCACCTGTATATTTTTACATTATATTCAACGGTTTTCGAGTAATACACCACGTCCTATAACTACATCCGTATTATACAAAAAATCGATATAACGCAATCCCGCGTTAGCTTAAGCACAGGTGCGTCATAAGTGCATTTAAAAAAAATATTTTACAGGCGCGACGTTTGAACATGACGTTGTATATTTAATGAACATGGGTTAAAAATTGAATTTGTTTGCGTGTAATCTTTGTGCACAACGTGTAGGATAAGGTGCGCTGTAAGTATCTGTCAGACTTGGCAAGACTTGGATTACTACGTACAACCATATATTAGGTATTTTTATCCAATTCAATTGACTAAACTCGATTATCACAACGTGGACCGATCTCGCAGGCAAACTTGAAAGCTATTGAAAGCTATTACCTAAGTATAACCCTTAAAATCGCCATTTTAGAGCTGTTGTAGTTTGTCCGAAGCTCGAGAGTGATGTGTGCTCGTTTTGAGTCTTGTATTAAGAGAAATATATTTGTATTATATTTTTGATTACCTACGACTCACGAGTTAAGATTCTGGTGCTGCTAAAATTTCGAAACGCCGATCCCGACCCCTCCGTTGTTGTAGAGGAACCTATGGCGGCGGCAGTGGACCGACAAAAGACCAGTCAGGATATATCAGGAGTGCACCATTATATTCGAAAACGACCCGGCACGACCTGCAGGTACAACAACAACAACCAAAAAATAATAATAAAAGGGACCGGGGCCACCGTCGGGTATTTTTTCTTGGTCTCTCTTATTTCGTTTTACGATTTCGGCGAAGGCCGTTAAATTCATAATACGACCGCCTCTCGGGTGGTTTAGAAAAAATACACACACACACCAGTATCCTGACGAACCTGTATCATTAGATATTTGAATTATCTACTAATTTTTGAGAGGAATCAAAAGTTGCAAAAATATACAATTTTTATGTTTAATAGGCAGACAGGGAAACTATTCCCGCCAAATAATAATATTTGCCACTCTATCTTATTAATAAAATCATATTATTTGCTTAGATATTCACGTTAGTAGCCATTTCTAACATTGTCGATTTATGAATTGCCTATATACTTTCAAAACTTAGCAATTTAAAAAAAAAAACTATAATTTGTTTAGAGCTTTAAAAAATATTTAACCAACAAGTAATACAATAATAATACATTTATTCTGTGCGATCACGTTTATTTTGAGCTTCTTAGTTATCTCATCGTATCATGTACAGTACAATACTTATGATACATTAAGTCAGATCACTTACTAGTATTAATCGATGGATTAATCACTTGTACGGGCTCCACGCTTCTTGTCTTGATGATTTCTAATAACGAATAACACGAGTGAAAAATTGTATAACATGTTATTGATACCAATGGAGCATGTACACAGCTGTTATTGTACATTTTTTTTTTCAGCTACAACGGTATTTAATAATATAATAATGGCTCAATGTTGTTTGCTTCCTTCCGGGCGAATCCTTATTACTGGCAATTTTTATTTTCCTCGGCACACGTGGCGGAAGTAACTCGATATCGTTCGAATTGCAAGCCATCCAATTGCGTGCTTATACAAATTATTATTGTCGTTAGGGTTAGCGCACAGGCAGGTGTGAAATAATAAAAAAAAAAACGTTAACTGTTTATGATAATCAGAGGTGAACTCGATTAGTATTTATTAATTTATCAGTTCATTTTTTTTTATGGAAGACTTTTTTTCCCATTTAAATACGCATAAATTATAACAAAGAAAACTGAAAACCTAAAACGCTATTTTTGTTGCCAGTAAGTAAATAAAATGTACTATCTCACAAAAACCGTAAACAACGTATTTGTACAACGATAATTCACGATTTTGCAAGAATGTATTTAGCAAGTTTAACACTGAAATTATATGTTCTTTATATTGCAATCTTAAAAATAATTACTATTTTCAAGTCCAAAAATAGGGTTAGTAGTTGATATGAAAGCCTACAGTTTAAAAGTTTAATTATTATAACTTTAATTATAAACTAAATGTATAACTATTTCATTATCTTGTACATCATTAGTTTTAGAATAATTACTAAAAGTGGTGGGACAAAATGGGTTTAGGAAAAATTTTAACAATTTTAATTAAATTTCAAATATATAATAAAATTTTCAAAATTTTTTTGTTTTTGGAAAACCTCAATTAACTCAATGGTACCTGTTGATCGCTAATAAATACTCATGCGCAGTTGGTCAAAAGATAGTATATAATCAATTTAGACTTATCCTATTTACTTTAAGGTCAGGAGTTGTATTTTTTTTTTAAATGTTGTTGTTAGTTGTACCTATTATTTACATTGTTGAGGTAGTTTTTACTGTGGATCATCCTGTGTAATGCATCAACTTATCGGCTGGCTATAACTAGAACAAATTTGACTAATTACAAATCTGAGAATAATACCTTATTCTGTATGTAACTATAGGGTCATCGTGGTCATGGTGATTAAATACATTATTATGGATGCATGTGTGTGTTGTAGGTATGAAAAAATGTTTAATGTTTTTGTAGATGGTTGTCGGTTTACTGGTAAGGTATAGTACTATTGGCATTACAAGGAATGGTTTTTAATACATTTGACTGTTGCCAAAGGGCCAAATGTATACATTATATTAATCGACCGTAACCTAAGCCGTATCGACGTGAAGATGAAAACATATCAAACGTATCAAACATATTAATCAAACGCCGAGGCGCCAACCGCACACAATATCACCTAAGTTTGTTTTATTACATAGTGGGTATCAATATTGTTGCATTCAATTATTGTCGAGTAGTAAGGCGTGGACAATCCATTGAGAGTGTCTACACACACCCGAAGCGGTATTGACGTCGACGATCGTTGATAGAAAATCGATAATAATTATTATTATTTTAACCGTTAGCCGTCGACGTAAACTCGAGTCAGTACGAGTAGATCCGGTGAGAAGATACATACATTGCCAAGATAATTGTTTGTAGATTGTGTGATTCCATAATATGTTAATATTCATGTTACACAATATTACGAGTTTCTTGTGTAGAAGGAATTTCAGGAAAAACGTGGCATAGACTAATGGAAAAACAACGCATTATATTATACTGATTTTACACGTGTAATTTTTGCACTTTATACATAACTCGATAATTGCCTTACTCGACAACAATAATTTTTTGTTTAGCATAATGTATTTTTTTTTTTGGCTATCGAAAAGGAAGTGTCTAGATTCGTTTCCGGGTAAGACAAGTGCGTGCAACTACCCTCGTGACACGCAGCTTTTGAAAAAAACCACATACTTAGCGTTTTAGTGGTTATTATTGACAACCTTGCTTTATTTGTTTTTCTCGGGTATATAATTTACAAGAGCTCGGGCACTACTATTGCCTAGAGTTTAGGAGGTATTTACTAGTTAGTGTAAATCAATGTAATTATTCCAACTCGTACGGATATTAATTATATTATTTATATTGCACTTCTAATTTGCATAGATGTTTCATAGTATTGCGCTATTCGATGCACTTAGTCATAGCAATAGGAATTCGTATAAAATATTATGTTGAAATTAAAACTCGAATTTTTCCGCCAATGACTGTACCAGGTACCCACGTAATACATGTGCCGGTGACTAAAGGTCATCGGGCTCCGCCGCTTGCTTATATTATAAGTGTCGTTTACTATAGACTGTACAATTGACTAAAATATTCGCCTTTGGTTTTAAATTTGATCTACCAACTTAATCATTTTGCGTTTACAATGAGCCCTAATCCCAATTACATTATAAAAATGTCTGCATGTTAATGCCATTGCTATT